CTCCTTAAAGCCCATTCATTTAACTTGGTAAGGCTCTTCAACAAAAGTACCCCCGAATAGCTAAAACAACGTTACCAATTACGACCATATACGTATATTTAGCTGTACCTATATGTTTTGTAGTTATACTTCTTTTGGCGCGTTAGGGAAAAGTTTTTAGTCGTTATTTCGTTATTTTTTATAAAAATCGGTCCAGTGCTTTTCTCGTGATGCGTTCCCAGATAGACAGACGGACAGACAGATAGACAAAAAATCTAAAAACTATAGATTCGGCCTCTGTATCGATAATAATGACTATTTCAATAAGATTTTCCAAAAAAATATTTAATGTAGAGTTTCGACGCAGTTACAATTTTATTATATGTCTAGAAATGGCATAATAACAATAATTTTTAATACCTCTGTACCTATAAAGGATAGTAATTTTTTTTTTCAACCGACTTCAAAAAGGAAGAGGTTCTCAATTCGACTGTGTTTTTTTTTATGTTTGTTACCTCAGAACTCCGTCATTTATTAACCGATTTGGACAATTTTGCTTTGGCTAAGTAATTAAAGCCTACCTATTAAATACATACCTAATCAAATATTTTCGAAATCGGTGCCAGCCCATACAAAGCAAAGCACAACGACTTCGAAAATATTTGATTAGGTATGTATAGTAAATGAAAACTACCAATCAGTTATTTTTTACTTTTTAGTGCTTTTGTTTGAAGTCGGTTTTTATTTTTTTGTTAAAAAGTTTTTATTTTTTTAAATACCTCGAGGTCACCATACAAATGTCAACAAAAATTCGATCTTTAGGCACAGAATAATTACCTACTTGTAAATGATTTTAAAGTCGATGTGCCTGTTTTAGTCATTATACTACAAAATATGATTGTGCTAAAAATATTGTAAGTTTTAATACACTTTTATTAATTTTATTAGGATTTTTTTATTGTCTTCCTTCAGCTATGCTGATAATGGACCCTAAAAGCTCCTATTCATATATAATAAGCAAAAAATACTGTAAAATTATTAAAATATTTGAAACATTTTTTATTCATAAAGTTTTTTATGTTTAACTAGCGACTCACCCTTGCTCCGCTCCGGATTGTCCTTAGTTACGTTTTAACGTTTAGTATAGATTTCTCAAAAGTGAGATATTTTCCCGCAATAAAAAGTATCCTACGTTTTGACCCGGATAACCAGCTATCATCATACCATAATCCATCAAAATCTGTCCAGTAGTTTTCTCGTGAGGCGTTCCCAGACAGACAAACAGACAGACAAAAATTCTAAAAACTATACGGCCTCTGTATTGATAATAATAACTATTACAATAAATATATATATATATATATTGTGTAGCTGTTGGTGCTAAAAACGTTCACAGTTTGTCTTCTTCACGTTGCCAATACCGCGAAAATTCGTCAGTAGTGTCTCAATGACCGTTTTATTGACGTACAGTAGTTATTGCGTGCTTCCTGAAATTGAATAGAAAGAATTTAGGCTACAAATATTAGAATAGAATTGTTTGATTTCACTTTCTATATAATTTGAGACATCCCCGAAATACACTTATAATATCGTAAAATATTTAATATACAGTACTTAGCCTGAATCTAAGATATTAAAATACAAATTTACAGACTTATAATAAAATGTTCTTTTATTATTTAACTTCCACTGAAAAAAATCTAGGCTACAGACAATAAATGATTTCTGCGTAATCTATCTTGTTTTATATTATTTGAAGTCCAATCTCATTATAAACGACTAGATGAAAATATAAATATTTACAACAAATCTATAGCATAAAGTATCTATCTACCCATATATTACTAGCGACTTACCCCCGCTTCGCTCGGGTGCGTCCCTAGGTACGTTTTTTTTTGAACAGAACTGAACCTATATATTTTTTTCTAAAATAAAAGTAGCCTATGTTATTCCTTAGGACACAGAAAAAAAATTAATAAGATTTATTTAACAATTCTAAACATGTAAATAACACTAATTAATTATTATTTTTTACAATTTTAAAAATAAAATCTACAAATACTGTAAGGTACTCTGGTGCAATTTTAGAATTTTTGAAATCACGGTCTGTAATAAGTATATAAAGCCTTTGAGATGTCTAAAACCTTAGTCTCTCCCATGACCGTGATTGCTGTAAAGCATTCGAAACGTCGAGAACCAAAAATTCAAATAAATCCGCGAAATAATCCGAAAAGATATTTAAATTTATTAAAGTTTATAAAGAAAGGATTGCAGAAAACTAGAACTTACTGGCTTCCTTTTGCCTGCTGTTGCACTCACCTAATATATAATGTATAATACTACATTTTACTAACAATTATAGCGAGATGTTAGATAGACCGGAAGCTTTATCAATTATATGCTAACACATAAAGCTTAAGAGTTTGTTTGTCAGCACGATCAAATCTGGAATTACGGGTCGCGTTTGAAATAATCCCTTTACAGTAATAGTATCTTCATTAAGAGTCCGTATATGAATTGTTATGATTGTTTTCAACCGCAGAACGATCACCAGTTATAATTATAATTATTGTAAACAGAACCAATAAAATTTGAAACAATCGACTTGTGGTTGTATAACGGAAATGTAAACACGAACAGACGGAACACAAGATTCTGCAAACCTCATTTACTTTATTTGACTGGCAATCGTTTGTCTACAATTTAGAAACGTCTGATATAGCTATAATCAGAACTTTGCTTAGTAGAAATCGATTTTTAATCACAGTCAGTCAATGAGCTACTAAAGTAGCAGATTTCCAACAAAATGTCTTCATTTGTCACTTCAATAAGTTGAAACTTGTCAAATCCTGATATTTAGATTAATTTTATTTTCTTCAAAAGATTTTCGTTATGATTTTTTATTTAATTACTGGTTTAAGTCTGAGAGTATTGTTGCATTTATTTTTGACAGACTTCAAACATTTTTTTGTATGTAACGCGATATCTTCATCAATTGTTTTTTTTTTGTTTAAAATCGATTTAATTATACTAATCTTTGCCAATTTTATTTAAATCGATTTTCGTAATTCCATTAAATTAATAAATCATACTCTAAGTAAATCCCGATGTAAATTAAAAAAAAACTTCAAAAGGAGGATTTTCAGTGATTTTGAGGTCTTAAAAAGGATACATGTCAACTTTTTAGTAGATATAATTATAAGACTATCTTGTTTTTTTAATCATTGAGTAAATTAAAAAAAAATGTTGACGTAATTCGTATGTCATGCATACGAGCAAACAGACCTAGTGCGAGTAAAAACGCTCATTTCACATAGAAGAAATTCCAAACTGTTTTTTCTGGCTTCTAATCCACCAAAGCCCCAATTTATTTAGCAAATACAAATCATAATATAAACTAAATCCCAACAGATTTATCAATCTGTAGCAAAAGTCAATATGAAGTCTCTTGCGATATAAGTGATACGAGAACTATTTTACTTTGTTATTCATAAATGGGAATATTTTGCTCACTCGACCATTCGTTTGTTACGTATTGAGTATAAACTTTCAATACATTATGTATCTATCAAATAAATCCCTTAGAGTATAAACTCTGTATAACAAATGAAATTGGTATTGAAAAGTAAAATTTAGCATTATTTCTAGCTTGCAGTTGCTTTTATATTGAGGATTCGATTTACATACAGAAACGATTTGTATTATGCAGATAATATTTTACTTAAAATAAATTATTATATTATTAACGTTCTAAAGTTTAGTATAAATTTCTGAGAGATGAGATATTTTCCCGCAGTAAAAAATATCCTATATGTTGACCCGGATAACCAGCTATCGTCGTACTAAATTTCATCAAATTGTGTCTAGTGGTTTTTTCGTGATGCGTTCTCAAACAGACAGACAGACCGACAAAAATTCTGAAAACTATAGATTCGGCCTCTGTATTGATAATAATGACTATTTCAATAAGGTTTTCCAAAAAATATTTAATGTACAGATTTGACTCAGCTTGAATTTTATATGTAGATATAGATAAAATTGAATCTTCTGTCATAGAATCTCTTTTCTTAGTTTTCTATTCCTCAACGATTGTAGAATGACGTCTTGTCTAAGCTATGTGTCAAAGCTCAGAGTAATCACTAACAGACAATTTATTTTAACATCTATATCAATAAAATACTTGCCAGTTGCCAGTTTTTTGAAAATTATGGACGAAACATAAATTTCTTTTATTACTTAGCTTAAGTTTACGGTTTCGCTTATAAAGTGCCTTGTCAAAATAATAAAAAAAGTAATGACAAATCTCGGTTGAATTTAATATTTTCTTGAGAATGTAACAATTTATTGTCACTTAAATGAGCGTGTATCAGGCATACAAAAACAGCATATAACCTCTCTTAATGAAAGAGCTATCTCACTCAAAATTATACTCCCAAACCACCATGAATATTGAATATATAAGGAGTTTAACGCATTCAATTCAAGCATTTAAATATTTCTGCCTTTGACCTCATAAGCTTAGTATACACGACTGTCCGAGAAATTTGCAGTAATGACGGGAGTTGGCGAACCCCCATACGGCAAAGAGCGTAGAACTATCGATCTTATTTCTCACGAATTCTGTCGAATAGTGACTTTGAGAGTGTGAGTTGAGAGTAAAAACAATATACAGTGCACGATGTGTCTTACACACTCGAGTACAATAATATCTCCTGCTCAGACTATCAGTGACATTGGCCTCAGACGAGATCAGTTAAAAGTACATTGTCTTATAAATAGTATAGTTTATAAGTAAAGATTTATACTTCGTGCTATCAAATTAATATGAAGTTTCGAGTTATGTTCAGACGCCACAATGTTTATTTTTATAATAACAAACTTACGGAATGACGTGATATTACTATTGGAGCGGAAATCATTAGTTCTTACAGACTCTGCTATAAATGATTCCAAGCATCACTTACAAATATTAAAACTTTGCCAATTAATTGAATGAGATACTAAGAAATTCACAATAGCAAATGCTTAGTGAGTCAAATCTGGTGTGTTTAATGTTCACAAATAGATATTACTGAATTTCTTTATTATCATCTACAATATGGTTGTATTTAGCCCTTTTTAAAGCCCCATTGCTCTCTTCAGTACGAAGAGGATCAGGTCCGTCACATGAGTTTCGTAAACTTGCTAGGTTGTCCCAGACGTACAGGTTTCATCACGATGTTTTCCTTCACCGTAAGACAAACGGTAATCATGTTGGAAATAATTCGCACTAGAAAATATCAGAGGTGTGAAACCCGGGATTTGAACCCGCTTCACTCGGTTTTCCAAACGAGCGCGTTACCACTGGGCTACCACTATATGATTACATCTAATCTAATCTGCTAATATAGTGGAAAAAAATATAGTGAAGAAATCTGTATGTTTGAGACATAATTAGTTTTTGAAAGACGGATGAATTTCACAAAGTCGCATTTGTATGTTGTGTTTTATGGCCAAATCTCCTCCACATCAAGGAAAAGCACGTTTCCAGCTAACGGATGAACTATCAGTTATATATCTACATACTAGGGCTTTGTCTGCTCTTCTATTTCTATTTAGTCGGTAACCTCTTATTTCTAAATATGATACTTACTTCCATTTAAATGCCAATATTTTTTTATAGAATATAATCTAAAATGTATATAGAAATAATTGAAAAAGCTTTACATCGTTACTGTAGTATATGTACATATGTATATTTTTCGCTATTAGTATAAATGATAAAATATATAATGTACAGATTTGACTCAGTTAGAATTTTATTATATGTATAGATTGAACAATTAACATCAAACTAAGAAAATTTCCATCTATACGAATGAGTAATACGATATGAGAAAGTTTAAAACGTATCGGGCGCACTTCAGGATTGACGTCAGAGCCATTTCACAACAATAAATCTGACATCACATGTCCAAACTGTTCGCGTTGCTGTAGTTGCGTATAATTTGACCTCTTTTAAATTTTATCTTGGCATATAATATACAAATTATATTACAGTTATTACTTATTATAATACAATATACTATATATTATACAAACTATTTTATTATTATTACATATTTATTATATATCTATTTTATTTAAAATTATAAAATAATCATTATTATCGATACAGAGGCCGAATCTATAGTTTTTAGAATTTTTTTCTGTCTGTCTGTCTGTCTGTTACCGCATTACAGAAAAACCACTGCAGGGATTTTAATAAAATTTGGTATGATGATAGCTGGTTATCCGGGTAAACATATAGCATACTTTTTACCGCGGGAAAATGTCTCATTTCTGAGAAAAAAATACAAAAATTGCAATGTTAGAGTATACTAATATGTAAAACCTAAGAATTTGGTCATCTGAACCTGGGCGAAGCCGCGGATAATGCTAGTTATAATATAATATACCTACCTTTAACTGTTTTTCTAAATATCTGGCGCAGTGATCAGATATGAGTTACTATGCTAGACGACGTAAATTCGATTGAAGATTAAAGTTTTATACGCAAGAAGTTTAGTATTTGTTGTAATGAAGAAAGATTAATATGATAATATAGTGGATTTAAAGAATCTTTTAATAGAAAAATACTATTTAAGCTGTGAGTCTTCTTCTTCTTGTCCTTATCTTACACTACGTGGGTTCCGTTCTCCATGTATCCTTCTTCCATTTCCCTCTATCAGCGTCATCTCGTCATCTCAGCATACATATGTCCTCTCATATGTAGTCCTACCATACCTTCTCGATCCACTTTTGCTTCTATTGTTCTATATCCATCCACACTTATGCCTTACAATCTTTTACTTATCTTATATCTTGATTAAACTTTTTTAGTATCATTAATCTATAAATCTACGTATATTTCCACTTATAATCATGTGCAGAATTTTAATAAAAATCTGGCAAGTGAGACTTGCACACCGAGGGATCCATAGTAAGAAACATTAAAATAGGTTTATAATCGCAATTTTTTATGGTATAACTACAAACTTACGGTTTTCCGATTTTACCCTTTATTTGCGCTTTAAAATATTGCTACTTGGCAAACCTGATTCTATGTCAACAGGAAGTACCCTGTAGGTTTTGCATCCCTTGCGAGTTTCAAAATATGAGGCATTAACTATTAGTTTGACTTTTCACAGCTCCAAGGGATTGCTGATTGAGTATTTGATATTATTTTGAACTTGATACCTCTAAGTGTTCCTAAGAAAAACGGTCTTGACAGACAGACAGACGATCAACGAAGTAATAAATGTTCCTTTAATTCTTTATAATATATGGAACCCGAAAATGATAAAACAACCATTGGGAAGCTTTTTTTAAATATTAAGAGAATAAAAGAATATTTCATAAAATATTTCCTCACCTGACCAAACTTTTTCATTTCCAGGAATTGTGAACAGAGGAGATTCGTTTCGAAGACGTCGATCAAGATCTGGAAGTCTAGCACCATCTTCACCTGCACAATCTGCGCCTGAGTCGCAAGAACGAAAGCCTGTTGCCTGCCACCGTGTCGCTATGGTTGGAGCACCTGGTGTCGGCAAAACTGCACTTATCAGCCAATTTCAAACAAGCGAATGCATTAATGCATATGATAGACAGAGAGGTAAGCTAATTTTATTAGCTTTTATTTAAGTTGCGCTATTTCTGTCTCTTTCTAGCAATTCGTATTATTTTTTTTATATTTACTTGACGATTTAGCTAGGCTTGTCCAAAAAAATTCAGTGGAGAAATTGTAGGAACTATACAGCAGATGATTGCACTGGAAAATTCTATTACATATAGTCATCTAGTCATCTATATATATAAAAGAAAGTCGTGTTAGTTACTTCGCTTATAACTCAAGAACGGCTGAACCGATTTAGCTGAAAATTGGCAGGGAGGTAGTTTAGAGCCAGGAGAAGGACATAGGATACTTTTTATCCCGTTCGACCGCGTTCAAATTTTTATGATATTTTAATTTTTGGATTTCTCTTAGTCCGGAATAGGTAAGTATTAAAACATATAATTAAAATGTGAGAAAGAAAGATTTTTTCTTTTTATATCTATTTAAAACGTACCTAGCGACGAACCCGAGCGAAGCGAGGGTGAGCCGCTAGTTAAATATAAAGCCTATTTTTTTAAATATTATTTTTATTAAGATCACTTATTTATAAATAGGTGTTGAATGTTACAAACATCACACAAGTTTGAAGCGTCTAAATATAAATTGTATGGTGGTGCTTAGAACAGGGAGTTTGATTTACATAACTCATTGAAATGAGATTCGCTTAACACATATTATAAAAGGGATTTAATTTGTTTGTGAGTGTTTCTTAGCCAGTAACAGTGTAAAATTGCGAATGGAGATAGCCTCCAGAAGAGCCGCGGGTAAAAAGTGGTAACCTACAAAACTGTTGGATTGAAAATCATCCATTCGTATAGCTTATTGCTCATATTTTAATTTAATCTTATAATAATTGTTGCTAGATTTACACGAATATTTGACCAATTTAATCAAAAATCATTAATTTATTCTTAAACAATAATCAAAACAAATCCGCGAAATAATCCAAAAAGAACGTTGTAAATAATCTCATAATAATACTGGTCACAAATACAGGGTTACATCAATGTAAAAATATTAATAAAAACTTTTTAACAAAAAAATAAAAACCGACTTCAAACAAAAGCACTAAAAAGTAAAAAATAACTGATTGGTAGTTTTCATTTACTATACATACCTAATTAAATATTTTCGAGTCGGTGTGCTTTGCCTGGGACCTGGGAATGGGCTGGCACCGATTTCGAAAATATTTAAATAGGCATGTATTTAATAGGTAGGCTTCAATTACTTAGCCAAAGCACACCGACTTCGAAAATATTTAATTAGGTATGTATAGTAAATGAAAACTACCAATCAGTTATTTTTTACTTTTTAGTGCTTTTGTTTGAAGTCGGTTTTTATTTTTTTGTTAAAAAGTTTTTATTTTTCCCTTTTTAGTGTAGACAGTAGTAGCAAAGTAAGGATTCTAACGTGTTAGGCTTGTCAAATCAAACAAAATAAGCCCAAACTCAAAGTATCTACTATTAGCCGTTGAAGAGTTCCACCTATCCACCTTCTGGCCTTGCCATCAGATCAGGTCAACAACACCGAACCACTGTACTATCAACGGAAATAGAAATACTTGCAAAGTTTCAAGTCAATATGACAATTAGAAGTAGGTTAAATTCATCATTAGTTGTTTTTCCACCCTTAGGGGTGGTATTTTTTTTTGAAATTTAAATGGGACCAATCTGGAAGTATACCCTTTCAAACAAAATAAAAATTGTCCAAATCGGTTAATAAATGACGGAGTTCTGAGGTAACAAACATAAAAAAAAAAAAACATACAGTCGAATTGAGAACCTTCTCCTTTTTGAAGTCGGTTGAAAAACAAACCACTTTTGATTCGATTAAATGAATTTATGTAAGTTGCTACGATAGAAGCAATAGCTATAAATAAATATTGACATTGTACCATCGTATAAATGCATTATAGTGTAATTACAGATATGGAGTCCAACATAAACTACTAATTTTAGTACATTATAGCTGAGAATAGATTGCTTATGTTGTATACAAAGTAAAAGTAATAACATGTACAAGTATAACTGTATGTTTGATTTGATTGCATTTTTTAATGTTATCTTTAAATCCATCAAAGTCCAGTAAGGTCATAAGTATTAAACTTAAAATTAATTATTAAATGCAAAAATTTCTACGTCACACTTCCGACTTGACTGTGCTAGCGGTCGAAGGTTCGAGTCCCGCTAGGGGCATTCATTTGTGTGATGAGCACAAATGTTTGTACTCCAGTCATGGGTGTATATATTTATAATATGTATATATTTAAAGTTATATATGTAGTGTATCAACTATCTGGTATTCGTAACGCAAGCCACGTAGCTTACCATGGAACTAGATGGTGCTGTGTGTTAATGTCCCAACATATTATTATATAATATTAATTTCTATGTGTGTATGTTTGTTAGTTTTTCACGCTGAAATGGCTGGACGGATTTAGGTGATGTTTAGTAAGCAGATAGATAGTGACACGGAGTTAATGTAAAGTCCTAAGTCGCTAGTTTTATACAACCTACATAAATAAATAGTCATAATTTTTTATTTGTAATTGTAATTAATTAATTATTTAAAAAAAAAATTAAGTCAAAATTGGATTTATTGTATACTATTTAATAAGTTGTAACTACCTATAATTAAAAGTGCAATTATCATGATAAATCATATGTAACCTAGGTTTAAGTATTATAATATTGTAACTTTTGATGGTAGTTCAATAAATAAATAAACAAATAATGAAAAGGGAAAATTAAAACAGTTATAAAGTATCAATAAAAAATAAATAACACACGAACTAAATAATAAACGTGTAATGACTAAAGAAAAACTCTACATACTAAGTTTAATTCAAAAACTAAAAGGCTAAAAAGTAAACATATAAACGCAAAATTTGCTACGGAATAATACGATTATCTTTTGCTTCGCTTTCAGCAACAAATAAATGAACTTAAAGCCTGTAATTATTCCAAGTGCAAAGGGAGTACAAAACGGTCTCTTTTTATTCACAACAACATTTCCACTGTATCGTGCCACAAACGCTAAAGCTGTTTATTTTTTTTTACTTTTAGAAAACTTGGCTGTTTATGGCAATGGTAGCTCAGAGAAAACATACTCGCTTGAATTATCAAGTGAAATGGGTTCGAATCCTGTCACTTGTACAAATGCACAAATCATTTTCAACATGATTAGCCAGAAAGACGGTAAAAGACAACATAGTGAGGAGAAAATAGCTTGCTGCAATAAACTATTTCTGATGGCATGTGTAATATGTGCAAAATATAATTACATGAAGTAAATTTTATTAAGATTTAAATATTTACGCTCGACAAAAATCAGTCAGTTACAAGTATTGCTAATAAAAACATGTAGAATTACCAGAAAATTTTTAGGCTACGATTGTATGTTTGTTGTTGTTTTGTTGTGCACTCTTAATTCTTTTCACTCATAAGAGTCAAAATGTTATGGAATGCTATTCAACTAGAGGAAGAAAGAAGATGAAGTCTAGAAGGAAATGGGATAGCATTCCGATTTCATAAAAGAGCAATCAAGAGCAGGGTCTACTGATCGAGACACAAACTACTGAGAATTCCTTGATAGAAAAACATCAACAACAACAATTTGCTCTACCCAAGACTCGAATCCAGAAGCTCATCTGCAATCATCGCTATACGGATAGATGTAGCTCGCATTTACATATATAATAGATAATCAGTCGAAAATATTAAATAATCCTTCCACGACCGCGGACACACCGGCGTGTCAGTTAACAATAGATTTCTTAGAATTTTAATTAATTTCTTAGAAATTTACCTGGAGGTGATAATAATATCGTTTCGTTAATATTAGAAAACTATTAAAATCTAATAAACATTCAGTGAGCATCGAATTTAATCACATTGAAGATCTCGCTAGAACAATTTCTTTCATTTCATTACATTAAACAAGCAAACAGCAGTTTTATACTTTCAAAGGAGAAATAAACGTCGAATTACAAACCGTACATAAATCCCTAATAATATAAATCTTCTCAATAGAAATTTAATGTGGAAATTTTCGTGGAAAATCAGTCTATACAGGATCATGAAATTCATGTAATTAATTGATCTGTAAAGCTTTCAATAAAATACTCTTTACGAGCTCCGAGACTAAATCAAATTCAAATTTGTTTATGACATTTAAATGTTGGTTGGTTTCAACGAAATATTCCTTTATAATATACCCTCTTTATATTAAATTATACTAAAAATTATACCGAATTAAATAAAAAATTACAAAGTATAACTCAAAACGTATTTAAATTAACTTCTTCAATTTCAGAATTTTACGTGTTGAAAACGAGGAAATACGTACGCGTGAAGCTGTAACATATTATGTATCTATTAAAGGCCCTTGGTGGCCTTCGCATTTATTATATGACAGAAGTACAGAAAGGACGAGTTTTTCTGACTTAATTGTCAAATATCATCATTTTAAATAAAACTATCTTTTCGGATTTTTTCGCAGATTTATTTTGATTTTTGGTTCCCGACGTTTCGAATTCAGTCATGGTCATTTGAGAGACTGGTGATGATTGCTCTAAAGCATTTTATTCATAACTAGCATTGCCCGCGACTCCGCCCATGTTCTGATGACCAAAAACCAAATTCTTAGGTTTTACATATTAGTATACTCTTATATTGCAGTTTTTGTATTTTTCTCAGAAATTAGATATTTTCCCAGGGTGAAAAGTATCCTATATGTTGACTCGGATAAACAGCCACTATACCAAATTTCATCAAAATCCCTCCAGTGGTTTTTCTTTGATGCGGTAACAGACAGACAGACAAAAATTCTAAAAACTATATATTCGGCATCTGTATCGATAATAATGATTATTTCAATAATTTAAAAAAATATATATATTTAATGCACAGATTCGGCTTATTTACAATTTTATTATATGTATAGATGTCAAATATTCGCGTAAACCTAAGAAAGTATGAAATACTTTTATCATTATACCG